TTGAGCAAGCTTTAATTAATGTAGTTAAAGCAGGGCTTTATTATAGAAAACCAAAAGATGGCAAGTTTATGCAAAACCATAAAGAAAGAATTAAAAAATTACGTCAAGCAAAAGACCCAGAAGAGTATATATTAAATTCAGCTATGACTATATTCCCTAATGAAGACAAATATAATAAAACTATGAATGATTGCAAAGCATGGTATGGCAATGATTCAAAGATATATACTTCTATTATGGAATTATATAAATTATATTACAATTTAGCTAAAGATTATTTCATTAAAGAAGTCCAAATCGATAAAGAAGCAGAAGATTTCCTTAATTTGTAAAAGACCAGGAACACCAACTTGAAGCATTCCATGAACATCTATTATATTATAAATATTTTAATTCGTAAGCACCCATTGGGGTGGGTATTCAACATCTTTTATAATTTGAAGCTGCTCTCTTACAAAAGATCTTTCTGGACCATTACCATTTTCATCTTCTAGCTAGTACAAAATTGGCTGATTTTTTTGTACCAAAGATTTGCAGATATAATAAACCTTAGGACTCCAGTTCATGTCAGTAATTCGTCTTCTAGCAGGACCATGTTCTAGTTCATCAGGTTTAAGAAGATATCTCACCATATCATAATAGGATAAACAAGGTTCATTATATCTGATAGGCCTTTTGTGTTTTATAGTTGGCTTAGCAATTATCTTCTTTTCTTTTAATGCCTTTTCTACAGCTTCGTTAGAAGACATACCTATTAACCGAGTAGAGGCACTATTAAAATTATTATCATTAATATGAAGGCTTCTAACCCAGTCTCTAGAACGTTCTGATAAAGGTAACAGTAAATCTTTAGCATCTTGTTGAATAAAAGAATGCTTTTCAAATTCCTGGTGATCGCACTCTGCTATAGCATTGCCTTCCTTAGATTTAGCATACTGAATTTTTACGCCATACTCAAGCAATAAATCTCTACACTCACCCATATATTCAGATCCTTTGTCTAGGATTAAAAGTTTTGGCCAGCTAAGTGGGCATTTCGAATCATTATAAATTTTCTTAATCACTCTAGCCATTTGTGATGCTGTTTTATCAGTTAAAGCGAAACTACATCGATATCTGGTTGCAATATCTTTTATTACGCCTCTATACTTGTAAATCCGATTGCCAACTTTATTATGAAGCATAGGTGTAGTATCAGATTGGTGTACTTTATTTAAAATTTGTATATTATTAAAGGAGGCATGCTGAATAAACTTTGGTCTAGGCTTATGAATCTGATGCAAAGCCTGTTTTTCAAGCCAATCATATACTTCATCAATAGAAAAATTATACCCAGCTTTTAAAGAAGCTTCATATAATTTTTTTACAGTTTTTTGATAGCCATTAGGTTGATAATAAATCTTACGCAGAGCAATAAATATATCTAGTTTATGAGCTTTTTTAGAATCTATTTGTATTATAGGAATAGATAACATTTTTAAACCAGCTCACTTGTAAGCAAAAATGAGTGAAAAAATCAAACAGTTTAAAGATGCTTTATTGGTAATACAAGATCGAGTTAGCAAATTTCAGCAGGATCTAGTCTTAAAAGAAGATTATATTAAATATCTCGAAAAAGAAATCTTAATTCGAGATAAAGAACTAGATCCATTATGATTAGAAATTTCTAATCTTAAAAAACAGCTAGAAAAAGTGCTTCAAAATTCAAAGAACCAAGAGAATTATATTGATTACTTAGAAAAAGAGTTAGTATTTTTTCAGAATAAAATCGATAATCTTGATGAAAAAATAAATAATACTATAGTCATGGCCCACCCACAAAGATTGCATACAGAAAATCAGGCGATACTCTGAAATCACAGAATTCAGCAAGCAACTAATAATATTAGATTATATTTTCAAAGCCCAAATATAGTGCCAACATTAAATGGCATTGTAGATTATCTTAATACAATATCTCAGGCTGGCAATTTATTAGAACAGTCAACAATAGATACCTATCTTCATTTGAATAACCGTATAAATAATATCATAAACCAAATAACCAATTTACAAATCCAGTTAGGCACTCTTCAAAATGACTATGATCTTCTTAATCAAGCTTATAGAGCTCACAAGCTTAATTATCACTTGTTAAAAGCAACTTCTATAGATAAAAAAAATCATATATCCAAGCTACTTCAAGAAAACTTTGGATTACTTCTTTTAAATAGACAAACCTATCAGCAAATAAGAGAATGCAGAGCTAACAAATATTTGTTAGAATATAATCGAGATAGGTTATTTGAACGATATAAAAAATAGAAAAATAAAACCTATAATGCACAGCAGAATATTTTTAATTTAAATCAACAAAATTTATTATTACAAAATATTATAGCAAATTTTCAAAACATGGTGACTTTACAAGATGTTATGTCTTCATTATCCCCATTAATTGCCCAAATCCCTCAGTATATAGGTCAAGAACCTCCAGATGAATATTATAATAAAGTAGTACAAGTATTTGCATATAGAGGCACACTAGCAGTTGTTGGATTTAATGATGCTGTAAAAGCAGAAATTTTAAAATCCAAAATGTCTGGTAAGTATACTCCTGTTCCAGCCCAACACCCTGCTGGTACAGCTATTGATACTCCAGCACGATTCTTAGTTTGGTTGCGATATAAATATCATGAAGAAACAATAGGTTCTCACAATGCCTCTTTATTCAGATTAGCTCAAGAAAAATTTAATTCTACTGATACCCCCCAAACCTATGAAGATAGAATTCGTCTTTTATTGTTACAAATACCAAATAATAACCAGGATGCATTGGCTATATTATGGACATATTTGCCAGATGAGCTTTTTACAAGAGTAAAAATCACAAATCCAGCAGATATAAATGCATTCTTTACAGCTGTTAAAGATACCTGGCTTGAGCGAAAACCTTCTACCTTTACCTATAATGGGGTTAACACATCAGTTCCTATAATTTTATCTAATACTATATCTACAAAAAACCAATCTTAATATAAAAAAGCATTAGACCATTTAGATTTTATTGCGCAAAGATTAGGATATCCTGATGATGCATCTCGTGATCCTGATGCTCTGGACAACTTCATTGAAAAAGAATTATATAACAGATTAGGTTATATGAATTTTAATATACAAATGAAAAAATTATATACCACAAAAAAGCCTACAAAAGCAAAGAAAAAAACTGTTACAAGATATTGTTCTATGTGCAGAAAAGCTGGGCATACAAAAATGAATTGCCCCAAAGTCTGCAGAGCAGGACACTCCATATCTAAAAAAGCTAAACAGATCAATAATATTTCCCAATATGGATATATTAGCCAAAGCCAATCAGAAGATGAAATCGAATACGATCAAGAAGAAACTAGCCAATCAGAAACTGACCAAGAAAATAGCGAGATTGAATCTCAAGAAACTAATTGCTTTAATTTAAAAAAAAAAGTGGGGTTTCTAGATCATCTATAAAAAAGAAGTCTAATAAGCCAAAAACTAGTAAGAAGGCTATTAATGAAAATCAGATATTTTTAGAATCGGTTAAATATATAATAACAAGATATATTCTCTAATGCCCTAAAGAAGTTTTAACAGAAATTTATACAGATCTTAGTAAATTGTTTCCTGAAATGAAAGACTCATATTATTCATATCATTTAAAAAACTATACAAAAAAAGAAGTAGACAAGGTCTGGGAAAATATAATAAAAAAGTATCAAGTTATTTTAGAACCATTATTTCAAGCATGCTCTAGTTCTTCTCACGAGCTCGAGAAGATAGAAGGGTCTTCCTCTTCTGCGAAGCAGGACACTTTGTGTCTAAATTATGCTATAAAACAATATCAAGAAGCTCAATTATATCGAAATTGGTTTGACTCATTAAAAATAAACTTTTTGCAAATAAAAGAACCCAATAATTATGCTACTATTTCATGTAAAGTATATGATTTAGAAATACCCCATGCATTACTCGATACAGGTTCAGATGGGTCACATATTTCTGAAAATATCGCAAACCATTTTATAAAATATTTTGGGTTAAAATTAGATAGAAAAAAGATTTATAGACTAACAGGTGCTGTAGGCGAAAAACAATCTATTGGAAGCTTTTCTGATATACCTGTTACTATAGGTATTGAAAATGATACCTTAACAATTTCAGATGAGTTTTCAGTTTTACCAACAGAAAAAGATAATAATGGTAATAATATATCATTATTTATTCTTGGTACTAGATGGCAACATCGAGCTGGCTGGGAACCTATAGTAAAGGGTGAGTTTACAGCATCAGCTAATGGAAAGACTATTACTATTCCACTTTCTGTTTATAATAAAAATGAAGAATCAAAGCTTCGAATTTCCAATTCACTCAAAAAAAAATAATTAGTTCCAAAGAGGCTTTACATAGTAAAAATATAATACAATGCATTGAGGAAGCTGAGATTCGAGATATTTCTATATAGGAAAAAAGTATAAATCAATTCTTCTCTGAATTATAACCCTTTGAATCTAGATATATCAGGATATAACCTACCATCTTTCTCTTCTAATTCATGAATAAGACTATATATAGTACTATCTCGAATATATTTTTTCAATGTAAACTCAAATAAATTTCTAGCATTATTTCTCATATCAATCTTAATTTGGTTGCATTCTATATCTTTCTGTTGCTTAATATTTTTTAAGGTTTCCTCAGTAGATTTAATAAATTCTTGACGTAAATTATCTGTAGCTTCTTTGATTCTAGCATTAACCTCTTCTTCAGTATATAGAGGAGCAATATTGGCACAGAGTGCTAAAGAAGCTGTACAATAAGGCTCTATCTCTACTTCTATTGTAGGATTATATCGAGGTTTTTTATTTCTTTGGTATCTATCAACTTCATGTTTTAAAAATGCCTCGATAATAGGGCTAATACTACTTGCTTCACTTTCTGATAATGGATTTTTTTTTCGAGTTGTAAGCCGAATCCATCCAGCTTTTATTAATGACTATGGTAGTTGAGTAAGAAGACTTGAATAATTTTTATGAAAATCCATATAATTTTATGAAATATATTTTCATGAAATATTATAATCTTTCAAAAAAAATATAAAAAGCATCTATATTTTTATATAAAATTATAATCTTTCAAAAAAATATAAAAACCACCCAACTATTTTGATAACAGTTACTAACTTTAGACCCAAAGGGTCATTGCTTTGCAATATATATTAATAATTTATATAAATAATAAATCAAATAAATTAAATAAATAGATTATTATAAAGCAGGCCCATAGGGGCAACTCAAAGAGTTATGGATATATGGGATACACATTCATTTTGATACCTCTTTGAGAGCTTAATGCTTAAAGCTCTTTGTTTAGCCAACTTTGGAGATATTCTATTTGATACAAAATTTTTATATGCTTGTATACACCAATGCCAATATGGCAAACTAGTTATTTTATTAGATAATATCTAACGCTTAGTATTTATAGGGCAAATAGCCTTCTTTTTTGATTCAACCAAAGATAATATATGGTCTTTTGATCAGATACCTACATTCTTAGCATGGAATACTTCATTACCAAAAAGACAGTCTCGATATACTAGAGTTATAGGATCTGCCTCAGTTCGCATAGCTTCTTGCTCTAATAATAATGATCTATCTATTGGATCATCTAGCAAGGACCCTTCTAAAGCTGGCATGTATAAATTCGTGGCCATTTCATTTATGCCTTTTTTACTAACCCCCTTATGCTTAGACTTTGTAGACTTATCTGCTAAGACATAGTAATATGATTTAGCCCGAATATGATAAGATTCTGTAATCACATTACCTGGAGTCTCATCTTTAAAAAGCCCAATAGTCTTAGAATCATTAAGGTCGAAAAGCTCAGGTCGTTCAGCCATATCTTTATAGATATCTTCAGTTACAACTATAAATATAAATGAGTCTGTATCCATATATCCAAGTATTGCTTTATCACCATATCTTTCTTTTACATATCCATATCAGAAGCGATATATTAAAAGTTTGCTAAGACCAAGAACTGATGCTCCAACAATAATAGGCTTGTTGAGAGTTACACTAGCTTTTCCTATATGTGCCCTAACAAGTGTATTTCCAAGCTGTCTAGCATATTTAAAAGAGAGTTTACAGATTTGCTTAATAAATTTCTTTTCATTTTGCTCATTATTCATAGCCATGAGCTTGATGTCTTGGTATTTGTGAACATTTTTCATAGTTTTGCCATATACTGAGTTATTCATGAGCTTAAAGAAATCTTTCTCAAAAGCATTCTTAGCACCTTGTCTCTTTTCTGTATTAAAAGCTATATAGGGTGCGAGCCAGTTAGTTTGATCAAAAGATAAGATTTCTATTACCTTATCTACTATCATACCTAATTTTACATAGTATTGAAGCTCTAAGTAATGAATAACATATTCTTTTCATGGTTCAAGATGAGGTACTAATATTTCTGTAGCTGAGAAACGTCCACTATCTAAGTTATCTACAAGCTCTGTAGTATAAGGACACAACATATCTTTACTTACAACTATATTTTCTACAGCTGGGGGTAAATCACTCAAATAGTCATGAGTTTTTAGAGGAAAATGTGTATTAATCTTTAGAAAATATCCTCTTTTAGCATCTGCTTTAGTATTAAGAATCTTTTCAAGATATTTCTTTTGCTTATTTGGATTATCCTCAAGATATTTATGACTTACCTCCTATTTATAATTTCCAATAGGCAAATACTGACTCATAGCCCAGCTGTAAAGATTATTTGCATCGACATATAAAATCCATGTTGTGGGTTTAGATGGATCAAATGTCTTGCCTATTTTTGGATTATTAGCCTTGAAATAGCGCTTACAGGCTATAGCTATACCTCCATGCTTAGCCTCTTCTATAAAATCATGCATAGACATATCTGTAAAGAGCTCAATTTTAATACCTGTCATCTTAAGCATAGCATCTCAAGCTAATGTAGGTGCTGAAACATAATGACTAGGATCAAGCTCATAATACTGCATACATGTCATTTGAAATTGGATCCAAATATCTGCCAGGCTAAGTACGTTAATCTTAAGATAAAGATCATGATACTCTCCTAGAGTCTTACAACCAAAAGTTTTTTATACTTTTTGGGCATAATGATAGTCATCTTGTGAAATCTTGCCTTTAAGAGTACTATGAAACTCATGGATAGGAGGAAGCTTTGTTTTCTTAAATCTTTCTTGAGAATCTATATAATCATAAGGATAAACTCCTTTATGACTTGCTAATGAAATTTGATCTAAAGAATAGTCTTTAAAGTGCTGGCTTGTAATAGGATAATTGTTGCCCAAATTTTTCATAAGCTATTATTCATGAATTGCATACTATTTATATATTTAAGTTGACCTACCTTCATAGATTTATAACACTCAAATGTTTCAGCTATAACTTTTATCTAATGAGCATTAACAGATTTCCCAACAGATTCATAGACTAAATGAGAGTCATAGCCCTGAAAATTATGAAAGACAACTGGGATAGGAGTTTTCCATGGTTCAATCTAAAGTTTGAGATTGCAAGCATTGTGAGCAGGTCCTCGAAACTTACCTGTTATATGACAATGGTCCCAAACCTTATATTTATTATCTGTATCAAATTTATCTTTACATATCCAGCAGATATTTGTTTTAGTAAATTTTTTCTTGTCTTCTTCAGTCTCAATTCGGTCATGCTTTATAGCTAAGACCCTATTAATTTGAACTAATTCCTTATCAATTCTTTTAACAAATTCCTGAGTAGCATTTTTTCTTCTATATAGAAATAGGCCCCATACCTTTCCAGTATCGATCCAGTGAACCAAGTAGCAAAAGCTATTGGCTTTTTGTTCAGCAAGCTTTCACATTTGCCTTTCATATTTCTTATCACATTTCTTATTATCAGCTTCAAAGTCAGCTATAATAACACATGAAGCATTGATCATTCGTCTATAGTTCTTAAACTTCTCAAAGTCATTAACACCTTTGGTAGATAATTCAACTCTTTAGGTAGCTTCTTCTAATCCAAAACAGTGCTTTTGATGATAGGCTAAAGATTTTTCTGAATGAAAGCTTTGAAAGCATC